GAGAACACAGCAGATGTAGCCAAGGAAGCAAAAGAGTCCACTATATGACGCAAGGAGAATATGCCTGTATATCAATAATGTGTAATTCAACACGATCACAATATCAACTAAAGAGTAGAGAATAACTAACTGGTTAACAGAAAACATAACGAAGACGTTCTATTACATGCACAGAGATCGCACTGGTCATGGCATGCATACAGTCTGTTATCGTGTATCATTGGGAATAAACGCCACCACAACCTCTCCCTCAGTCCCTCGCTGTGAATTCTCCTGAATACAGCCTGTTGCGTTCTAACTCTGACTTTACTTTACTTGGCGGCTGGCAGGAGAAACTCTGGATAAAATCTGAGTGAAAAATGTGGTTGTTAAGTTTAACACATGCAGCTCACCCCAAAAACTTGAGGAACTTTTCAGGAGTTTCGTGCAAGTGTGAAAAAGGCTAGAGAGATGTCTTTTAGGATGTTTTGAGGTTGTTTTTCTCTGAGTCTCAGGCTGGCCTTCTTAGAGGAAGTGCTAAAGACGTTTCCAGAAGCCAGAAAGGGAAGCCAAAGGCTCGACGGCAGGAAACAACTTCCTGAGTCGGTCCAACCATTACAGAGGAAGCACAAAGCTTCAGAGGAGCATAAAGACAGGATCTCTTGTGTAACTGGGTGGATTTATATTTTCCATGTCAAACACGGGGGGCCCTCCGAAAGTTACTGACTTCTCTGGGGAAGGGGTTGAGTCTGAAAGTCACTAGTTCTGCTGGCCAAACACAACAGTCCAGAGCAACAGAGCGCCACTTCTTTTATGGAGGAGTTTTAAACTAAACAAACGGTTAAAACAGTGTTGTGATATTTAAGCCTGCATTGGAAAGCAGAAATCCTGCATGAATGTTAGAAACTTTTGTTTTATCCACGCTTGTATGTTCATTTTTCTTCTCAAATTAAACCGCTTCACAAGTTAAAAGGTGGTAAAACTTTGTGTTTGTTGGAGCCTAAATGTTTATTTTCAGTGTAAGACACAAAGTAACACAGGAGGGTAAGTATTTTGTGTCCTGACATGGACGGCATGTGAAGCCTTGGCATGGTGTGCATAAGGCCAAGACTCCAGGTGATTAAAGCTACAAGTTTGAATGCGAATCCAAACAGATTTTGGACGTGTCAACAAGTCGTTTTGTCGAGTACAACACTGATTTTGGTTTTATGTCTTCATAGGACTTAATGGACCATTGTTTGTGTGGATAATTGGCATCCTAAGAACATATACTATAAATAAACAAATAGAGCATATCCATAGCAGAAAGTTGTAGCGGTCGTTGATTTAAGTTTTTCCAAAGACACACGTTAGAAACCAGTTCCTGATTCACCCTCAGTGACGTTTTGGACTGAAAATGACTCGGAAAAAATCAAATCTAAATTCTTGTCAATATTTTCTTCAATATCTTCTAAATCACTAGACGGACTGTCAGTAGAAGAAATCCTCTGCTCATGGAATTATGTAACATTGATTGTCTGACATGAAACAAAATCCTCAAGTCCACTTTAGAATTGAAAGTAGTTTAAATTAGTTATTGAAATATGCATTTATATCTCTTAATGTGATCACTTGATGTCACACAATATAAATGGTTGTTATGTAAAGTAAACTCAAGCCCCACTACATGACTGGAAAAAAAATGTTTTTTGCAGATTTTTTTTACAGACTGTTGGGGTCTGGGTTGTTTTCAGGCATCGGCACCATCCCTCCCTCTGAAGTCGTTCTGCATGTGGTTCAAGTTGAGGACTCTGGAGCGTCTCATCAAAACAAACGCAGCTGGACTTATTCTGTTTCTTCTTTCTGACAGTCGAAAAGCTCGATCATGAAGCAGAGGGAGTTTGCATGTTGCTGCGTCAAGCTGAACAAACAAAAGTGTCTGTTTGTCCCCAAAGCTGCTCGGTGATAAAAGGACTCGACGAGAGCTGAAAACATTAATGATGCTCTGACAGACAGGGTTAGAAAACCTCACTATTGTCTTTCCTCAAGGAAACTTCAAGTCATGATCGACCTATGAGTTAATTGACTCGTACACGGTTTCTCCCACATTTCAGTGAACCTCGTTCTGCTTCTTCTATTGTAAAATAAACCTGCAGAAAAACAAGGTTTGCTGAAGCACTATCTGAGGCCCAGACTGAAATATTTCCCCTCTCCAACTACTAAAAGAAGTTCTCTCTTTATTGTGACTGCTAGCCGCCACTATCTGAAGTATATCCGGTGCAACAATACCCCATTGTTTGCTTACAGGATGAACAAAGAAAGTGCGTTTGAGCCAAGAACAGACTCCCTTAGAGACTCCCACAGACCGCCCAGCTGCTTATCACTGGAAGATAACCTCAAAGTGCACGAGACCGGAGCTTGCGTATATGTGGTCTGAAAATCTTGTTTAAGATAAGGGGGAAAGGAAGACGTGGAAGGGAGGAAGGATGCATACCGTCTGACGGCTGGGTTAAATCAGAACTGAACACTGTGTGCACAAGTCAGGGTAGATACAGTTTAAAAATGAACATGTTTGTTATTCTGTCTGCTGATGATACCCGTGTATTCTTTCTAAATATGGAGAATTGTTCCAGAGCTAAACTGAGAGCCTACTTAGGGCGCACTGAGTAGACATTAGTTTACAAATGAATGCAGCTTTTGCAGGTCTTTAGTCCTGGTTGATACAACACCTCCTTGAATACACTGTGCAAGAAGAAACCTGGAGCCACATAGCTCTTTGATGATGCTTTATTGAAGTTTTTTCTCCCTTATTTTTTTTGCTTTAGGAGCAGAAAAATTTGTAGCTGGGGCCATCCTGTTTTGTCTTAGATCGTTCTTCCATCCTGTTCTTGAGAAAGTTATATTTCAGCAACATCATATTTGGCTCAATGATCATCTTGGGCTCTCTTGGTACTTGGAGGTTTAAGTGATTTATTCTTGAAGGTAGGTCTTGAAAGGTTTTGACCTTGAATTGAGACTTTTTTTTTTTTCAGGAATTTAATAAAATATTTTAATTTGAATGGGAAAAATGTAAAAGCGAAATAAGAAATCATTGCAAAATGTAAAATGTACAGCCGGATGAAGGAGCTGTGACTTCATGTTATTGAATCTGTCAAAGAAGGTCTGTAGTGAGAGGGAAAGTTGGACCAGAGTTTTGTGTGAGGTGGGTTAAAGGGGGGGTTGGAGTGCTGGAAGTGGGTGTGAGAAGGGTTGGACCAGTCACAGTGGAGTTTAAATATAGCTGACAGAACAGAACCCACTTGTTGTTTGTTGGGTGAAAGAGGGTGAAAGAGAGAGAGAGAGAGAGAGAGAGATGAAGGGGTCATGAAGAGCCATAGTGTCAAAGTGAAATGCAAGGGAAACCTCTGAGCTTTATTTGTTGCGGTCTCAGCACGTACGTGTGTGTGTGTGTGTGTGTGTGTGTGTGTGTGTGTGTGTGTGTGTGTGTGTGTGTGTGTGTGTGTGTGTGTGTGTGTGTGACCAACATCTGGCATCACCAGCGTTCTTCATACTTTATTACATTTCTGAAGTAAAGGCAAACACATTTTAAAAAACTGCTTTTAGATAAGTAGAAAAAGTGTAAATAGCATACTGTACCATACTGCATCTCTGAAGTGCCTAAAAATGACTTTCTGACACCTTTCCAGCTGGATTCAGTAATTTCCAAACATGCATACTTATATTTTAAAATTGCAGCTTGAATTAAAAATGGGAATGTGAGACATTTTTGCAACCGTTGACCTTCTGTAGAGCTGGCATTGAAAGCCTGACCGGGTGAAAATATTTGAGGGGGTAGTTTTCCATGAGAACAACAGCACTCAGAACATATTAGAGACAGATATGTTTGCAAATGGAGCAGAGAGCAGTTCACTTGATTGTGTGTTTACTACAGGCGATTAGCTTCAGGCTAATTTTACGGCTCCTTTTAAAGCAACTCGAGCCTCTTTGACAAACAGCTCTCATACACGGGTCAGCACTGGTCTGTGAAGTCTGGAAACTACTGGAGTAAGTAAGGAAAGGCATGCGAAAGATCTCAAATGACATCAATTACCGAGTCACAGTGGTTGCAGTTTCTCCCATTTATAAAATGGTGCAACTTAAGCTTCAATGCATATTTTTAGTTTCTCATGGAATCAAGTGTTGTTTCACATCCATCCCTGCTCTTGAAAGCATAAAAACAACTGGAGATAATCTGAAACAAATGTTCTTGGTGGCACGAAAACAGTCAAATCTAAAGACAACGAAATATGTGACACATAAAATTTTACTGTAACTTCGGTCTAAACCATTTCCTAACAGATTGAGAAATAATCTGTCTGTTCAGGCTGCAGCCAAAACTTGATTCCCATTTGACTGCTGGACTATATAGAGTGCTGTTGCTAAAAATGTATTTAACAGCCTCTAGCATCCAGAGCCATGTCATCTGGATGTTTTTAAGTCGTATGCAGATTTTACTTATTTAGTTGGTCTAATAAACCAGAGAACCTGGTTCAAATCCCAATGGGACAGGGCCTTTCTGTGTGGAGTCTGCATGTTCTACCCGTGCACGTGTGGGTTCCCTCAGGTCCAAAGACATGCTCGTTAGGTTAATTGGGGACTCTAAAATTGCCCATAGGTGTGAATGTGAGTATGGCTGGTTATTTGTTTCTGTATGTCAGCCCTGTGATTGACTGGCAACAAATCCAGGGTGTAACTCCGCCTCTTGCCCAATGACAGCTGGGATCAGCTCTGGCCCCCCCTGTGGCCCGAACGGGACAAACAGTGAAGACAATGGATGGATGGATGATCTTCTAACGGTCAGTTAGTAGCATAAAAACAACAGCACTTTAATACCCAGTAGGCCAAACTAGGGGGCCTCTCTTTTCAGCAAAATTTTAAACAAAAGTATTGTTCTACTTTAACTCACTCTGTGATGTATTTAATGAAATGCTGCTAAAAAAAATCATGTAGGTGTCATAAGCTCCATTGTCACTGAAGGCTCCATGACATGAAACAAGCAGAGATCATTTTTTTGTTTTTATTTAACAAGCTGGTTCATAAATTATCGCACATAAAAGATTCTTTTCAATAGTTACAAAGTGGAAAGCAACTTGAGTTAGCGCCTGGAGAAAAATAAAACAAATGACAAGAAGATTTTTTGACAGTTTGGGAGCGAAGGGGGGGGTTGAAGTTTTGACAAATCAGGAGTTGACGACCAGAGGAGAAAAGAGGGAGTCAACACAATGGGGGTGGGGGGGGGTTAAAACATCCAAACACTGTCGAGTTAGGATCCCGTTACACAGACTGGTTGGTGGTTCTCATCTTCCCTCAGACTAGTGGCAAACAAAACAGTGGCATGCGACTTCAAAGCACATGCCGAAAAACAAGAGAAGGAATGCTTGTTTCTGTTCTCCAGTGTATTCAAAAGAGTCTTCAAAGGAAACTGAAGGAGCATAGAGAAGGGAATAAATTAGAAAATAACAATAATAAAATAAAAAAAATGACGGCACGAGCTACATGTGAGGCTCACGAAAAGAAAAACTAAAACGTGCTGAAGTGGCATCTTCTTGGCTCGACTTTCCCCCTACTAGTTTTCTCAGGAGCGATGATGTAACGAGAGGCTGGAGGAGCTTTTTTTTGTTTCAAAGTAGAACAAATCCTTCATTCTTCATTTATGTATTTTTCTATAATTCTTTACTCTTTTCTACATCTGATCCTTCTGATGCTCTAATCCCGGCTGACCGATGAGTGGATTTGTCACAGTGAGGAGGAAACCCTCCTCCATATCACCAGACTGACAGGAGCGATGTTTGGATGTCCATTAGCTAACGCTAGTTTTGACTCTATGACACTGAAATCCTTTTTTCTCGCTCTGCTTTGAACACTCAAAGTCTGTCTCTGTGTGATCAGAGCCTACTTGGACATCTGCTGCTGAACTTGCTGCAGGAATTCATGGTAAGAAGAAGCCGACTCAGATCGATCCTCCACCATGTGCTGAAAGAAAGTGACTTTAGTCGAAGCATCGTCCCTTCAAGGAAAAAAGGAGAAAAAGACAGAAAGGTTAGAGGGAGAGCAAGACCATTTAACACAAGTACTTAACAGATATTTCATGTCAGTGTTCGGTTGATTGGTATCCACTCTGAAAAGTCCATGTCATCCTCATTTCCTGTCCAGTGAGTATGGATGTTCTTAAAAAGCCTAAATTCCACATTTGTATTTGTTGATCTTAAACAGCACCGTCAGTCAAGAGACCAGAGATTTGAATCCAAAAGTCAATGTTTACTTCTTTTTATTTACTTTCCAAAGCGTAATCATGTTCCTACATCACACAAAGTAGGTTTAAAGCCTTAAAAAAAGGCAAACTGTGATAATTTCACAGATTTAACTCCATTAACATCCACTGCAGACGTCTAGATATATGGACATTATGCCTGCTATCAGTTTGAACTTACAGGGTAGGAAACATTCGAGCAGGAAACTTTCATTACATCAAATGATTTAGTTATTTAAGATAAAAGTCAGCTGATTCCAGTTTCTCAATTTAAGCCAGCTGAATTAGTATAGCTGGAAAGCTAAACGCCTTTGGACGTTCACCGGACAAAACCAAACAACTTCCTTTATAGATTGAACTAGATAAACTGAAAAAAATATTACTACTTGACTCATATATACACACATTATTGTATATACGTGTTCATTTCTTCATTAGTGTTGATTTTGTCTAGCTCTGAACGTTGAGCACGTTTAAAAAAACCTCCCGACTCACTTCTAATGTTACGTTTGACACTTTTTGCACGACTGCCAGCGGAAATCTATTTCAACTTAACACGTCCATTTCTCATGTGTCAGTTATTCAAATCATCCATTCAGCTGACTCCCCGTCCATTTGCACTGACATCAGCTGTCCTCCACAACAACGCTGATGTAAACATGCGGTGGAGTAACAATGCAGCGCCACAGAGGAGGGGAGACAGGAAGCAGAAACAATGAGCTCCCTGTGGAAGTCTTTACCACCGTTGTCAATCAATGACCTCACTGCTTACTATGTCTATACACTGAAAATATTTTTCTGTCAACCTCAGATTCCACCCTGACATGAAAACTGGCCACGCCCTGTTTCTGTGCAGTCCACAGTGAATCATTCTTAAGGTGCATTTGTCTCTTTTACAGATGTCACGACACATTGACAGACTAAGGTGACCACACTCAAAGCATGAGGTCCCCTTATGGACCAACAGCGCTCGTGCATGTAAGTGAGGGGTGTGGCTTTTGAGGGAGCACCGAGGGGAGGAGGTGTGTGCAGACGGTGTACAGAGGGAATGCTACTTTCAAAATCATGCTAGTTTTCAAAAATGACCAACCCTGCCTATAACGTCAAACATCTGACATATGTACAGGAGAACGTTTTTGCTCCTTTATAGTGGACTAAAATAAAAAAATGTCAGACAAGGGGACTTCATGAACCTGGACCCTCCCAATTTTTTAAGCGTTGGCAGTGGAGGAACTGAAACTCATCTTGTTAGGGTGATTTCAGGTCACTGCTGAGGCATCTCACCAAATGTCAAACCTCTAAAAAAAAAAATCACTCGACTCTTAAAGACTCTCCCTAACCATATGTGACATGTAGATGTCAGAGGACATCTGCATCACATTGGAGCCAGAGAGTGTGATTTAAAAGTCAGATGTGGATCCAGATGTGCGGCAGTGCTTACTTGATGACGTGCATCATGGAGCTGAACGCTCGGTTGTCCTGCAGCCAGTCGAGGAGCGCTCGTACTCTCTGAGACAGAGGAGTCTCCAGCTCAGGAATGTGACTCTGGATTTCACAGAGAGGAAGACAAACATCAACAACATTGTTTTTCACGGCTGTATGTTCCAGTTAATGCAGATCCACATCTCGCCCACACAATGTGGTCAACACAAATATGCCTGCGTGGTTTTTGGAGTGTTGGGTTTGTAGGTGGCTCCGGGTTGCATCGACCCCTTTCTAGATAAATACAATAAGCAATATAAACAAGTGCTGACGGCTGCTGTTTGTTCTGGATGTCACCATCGCACCCACACTGTGGTAATGACAGAGCTTTCTAGGTAACTGCACGGGTTGTAAAAAATGCAGAAAAGCCACATCAGCAAAATCTGTTCTGCTGTATTTGTTTTTTTATATATATATATATACACTGAGAAAAAAGCAGCACTGTTTTTATTGGATCTGTGAGTCACTTTCAGAGGAAATAATGTATAATACTGCATTGCATCATTCAGCAACAACTGGGCGTAGGTGTTTCTACAGTAATGGAAAAAACAATACAGCCATTTCCCTATTTCCTTTTCCTAGATACAAGGGGAGCATCTACGTTCCCTTACGAAACAATCTTTAAAAAAAGAAGGAAGAGGGATTGTCTTACTGACCATGTTGGGGGGTATGGAGGCGAAGTTGGTGCAGCCCAGAACATCTCGTATAAACATGTCGTTGCAGCATTTGCCGATCCACAGGTAAAACACCTGCACAGATAAAAACAAAAGCAATGTCATTCTGAGTTTACAGTATTTATTCATCTTCGGGCAAAGGATAGAGTAGGAAATCTGGTTAGAGTGAGAGCGAGGGGAATGGCATGCAGGAAAGGAGCCACAGGTCGGACTTGAACCCGGGCTATAGAGGGCTAAAGCCTCCATACATGGGGTGCGACCTAACAGCTTGGCCTTCTGCACCCCCCTGAGTTTACAGTATTATTAATACTGTGTCCTTACAGCAGGCGTTTGACTATTCATCAGAAGCTCTAAATGCACTTCTGGTGAGACTACAGAGAAAACGATTAAAGTCAAAAGATTTGTGGGTTTACGACCTTCTGTGTTCAAAAAACACATTAAGCATTGTAGTTTCAAGATGTTCTTACAGGAAAGAGCAGTCAATGAAGCCAACTCAAAGTACTTTGTGTTATTAATATAATAATAATTAACTAGCTGCCATCTTATTCAAGATATTGTAGCTGAATGAAGAGACACTGCAAACTACTCTTTCTACTTCATAGTGGACTAAACAGGCAAAAAACAGCAGAAAGAAGAGATAAAGAGATTAAACTTCAACTCTATTCTGAGAGCGTTATGAATAAAGAAAAGTGAACGCTTACGTAGCCACAGTCCAGAAGGAAGGCTCCGTCTCTGCTTATATTCTCAGCTGACAGGTGGAGCAGGTGAGGCTGGGGAACCACCGTGTCGTTCAGATGGAGCGCCCCCTGCAGGTTGTGACACAAATATTTGAGTGGACGAGAAAGAGGACCCTCAAGTTTGTTCCATTTATTTTAGTTCAGTATGAATAGTAAAATAACAGGTTCTGTTCATTCACAGTGAAGTAGCACTTTGACTTGTTCAACAGCGCACACTTTGAGCTTCCAACTCCTCAGGTAGAATAATCCAACAAGCTCTTCTTCACTCCCACAAACTAAAAATGTTTGCTCTGTCTTGTCCGTGTCCTACCTGGTCAGACATGTTGTCCAGCCGGTACAGATCAGGATGAACCATTCTCATCAGCTGCTCCAGCGGCTGGGTCTTGAACTCACACATGGCAAAGACCCGCTCATCCAGCCGCGTGCTGGTGCCCGTCCGCAGCGCTTTCTGGAAGGAAATACAGAACTCTTTATTGCAAGTACTGTTAATGTTTTAGTAAGTATTTGTGACTCTCCCTGCAACCAAATTTACCTACGGGTTCAAATAAAGTCACCTGAACCTGAATTATTGATACCTATTTATCAATGTTCTGTTTATTATTCTATATCGATTAAAAGTAATGAATGCTTGAGAGCTGCCTAGTTCAATGCAGTAATCTACGAGTTAGTAAGCAGTCCTTCAGAAGATGATAAATGACGAGGAAATCAGAGTTTAATTCTCTTTTTAGTCTCCAGTGAAAGATTTTCTGTCAAAGCTTAAAAAATTACTTTAGAGAGTTTTTTTAATGTCCTGAGCCTACCTCATAAAATTGTATTGTCTATGTGTATTAAAAGGGCTATATGTAACATTTTACATGTATAAATCGTTTTTTATCGGCCATGCCATGCGGTTTCGCTACAAACACAGTATTTTTGAAAGTTACATATAGCCCCTTCAAATTGAGACGGAGTTAATGTCAGTGATCACTTTTAACTGTAAGAAAAGACAAGTCAAGTTTATAAACGTAGCACCTTTGAGACACTGAGCGGTTCAAAGTGCTTAAAAAGCAACCGTAACTCAACTCTAATCAAGCATTGAATGAGAGAAAACAGTGTTTAAATGTGGCCAGACATACAGGGGTATTTATCTGACACAAGGGGTGTGTCTGGAAAGTGGACACACCCTGAATGTATGAATGAACAAGTCCTGGATAGGTGAATACAGTCATTGAGATCAGGAGTGGAAGGGAGGGGGAGTGATGATGAAAAGCAATCTTCTTTTTTTTGGACGTGTAACTCTTTTAGGATTAAAGGGTGTTAATGTGGAATGTGTGCGCCTATTAAGTGTGCATGATGCAGAGTGATTCACGTCGATGAGCCACACCTGTTTGAGCAGGGCGAGGATGTAAATGGGGAAGAGGCACATGGCAGCAGGGACGACCAGGCCGGACTGCTGCAGGTTCGACACGTTGCTCTTGTAGGCGCTCGCGAAATCCACAACCGCGTTCACCAGCGCGTCGCGAGCGTCCGACAGGCTGGACGTTATCGACCGATCGATTGCTGAAATACGAAGGTGGAAACAATTTGAGTTGAACCGCTAACAGATTTGAATTGTATGACACCTCCGAAAAGGCAACTCACAATGACAAGAAGCTTTTTTTAGGATTTGACAAATATAAGATTCAATTTCAGTTATTGCTTCTACTGCACAGACTGAAGATAAGTAAGAAAAGGATTATGCATAAATCTAAACTAAATAAAGATACCATGCGTCAGCTTTGGTCATCTATGGACTCACCCATGTTAGCTAGCAGACAGGTGATGGCCTGAACATCAGCTCCAGCATACACATCACTGAGCTGGTTGACCACAGGTAGACACAGCGTGTGGACCCGGATTCTCCTTTTTCCTACACGGATAGATGGAGAATAATGGATAAGAATAAAAATATATCAGGAACAAAACAGTAAAACAGGAAACAGGAAAGTACAGGCACACCATTAAAAAAAACTGAATCCAATATTCAAGTGAAACTATTATCAAATCAGCCGGTCGCAAATTGTAATGAGCACGATTAATCGACTACAAGATAAAATGTTGGGGATAGAGTAGGTAACCAAGAAAGAAAGAGAGAGAGAGGGTAATGACATGCGGGAAAAGGAGCTGCATGTTAATCTGAACCCAGGCCGTCCCCTTGAGGGACTATAGCCTCCATACATGAGGAAGGACCTATCCGCTAGGCCAAGGCTATTCAATTACAAATTCAAAAGGGGCCAGATTTTAAAACCAGGAATTTGAAGAGGGCCGGACTTTTCGCATCATCTATCACTTCATCCAAAAAGGCCAGTATGCATCCTCTCACTGCTCTAATTCTGTGAGTGACACATGCGGGGAAGCTGCTGTGTCTCTCTGTTGGGCTGTGCAGGTCCGCACCAGGGTTACGTCTCCGCTCATAAGCTGGAGACAAACTGTACTTTAACGTCCCTCTCCTGTGATCCCTCAAGAAAGTTAGTCTGGATAAGCCAGGTGTTTTTCATCGTGATGCATCCGAATGCTATATTATTTAATTACTGTAACGCACTCGTTGCGACGTTGGTTTTGTGTTTGGAGTTGTTAGTAAAACAAATAAATACTTTGCAGCCCAGGCACGTTTAAACCGGCGGTTTTTCCACTGTATATTTTTCTTTACATCATTTGGAAAGGCATGGTCTGAATGTTTTGAATACCACTACTTCCGCGAACGTCCGTTCTGATCAGTACGGCAAACTCTTGACACAGATAAGAATGAAGTAAGATGCCTCACTTGCAAGCTAGTTACATGCCGGTATGCTGTTGATTATTTATTTATTTTTTCATTAATTGGATTCAGGCTGACTGGGTTGGGGCCACTCTGAGATTACCTGCAGGCCGCATTTGGCCCCCGGGCCGCCAATTGAATAGCCCTGCGCTAGGCCATTAGCGCCCCATGCTGGTTAAATGTTGTGTCTAGCTGAAAAAACAAACACGGCCACTGGACGGGGCTGTAGCTCTGGGTAGCGGGCCTTCTCTCCCCCGCTCTACTGAATGAATGTGAACACAGTGGACTGATGGCTTCTTGTTGGAGCAGCACGGGTAAACTGACATACGACCACTCCACTAGAAAAATGAACAACGGCATTCAGGACATTAACCTGCAAGGAGGACTGAAGACTGGGGGTGCTAGCACTGCTAACATTAGCCACACTCTAGGACACAGGACACGACTTGTGCTCTTTTTGTTTTCTTCCTTTTAGACGTATCAACTAGTCTGAGCTTACATTTCTGTTTAATCACCAGGGAAATTAGTCACGAGGAACATCCCTTAGTTACAACAAAAGGTTGTATCATTGAAAATGTTTTAGAAAAATGAGTCATACATGAAGGTCGGTCTGTAAAAAATGCCTTTAGACATTTAAATCAGCTGACACTGTTTATGCTCTTAAAATCTGTTCCAAAGACAGTCATATTATTATACTACTTAAAAAAACTTGTGTGAAACTTGTGAGAGTTTATACCTTCAGGAACTACCGTTTCAAAGAAACACCCCTAAAAAGAAGCCAATAAAACCACAACCTCCTTTTATTTTCACTTGAAGTATCTGACTTAACAGTAAATCTTGTGTGTATCTAATAGTGAACAGTGTCCTCTGTTCACTAATCCACAAGGACGCTCTCCCCATGATCTATGTCGGTGTGCTTGTTAGTTCTTCTACCTTTACTCGACGTGTAGAGCAGGGCGGCCTGGAAGCAGGCCAGAGACGAGTCTGCCAGAGAGTCTTCAATCGACATCTGGACAGCGAAGGCAGAGTCTGGGTTCACATTGGCGAGGGACAGCAGGTCAGTAGATCGCACAAAGAAGTTACCGTGAAACGTGTGGATGGATAAACCTGAGGGACAAAATCAATGTTTGAAAAATGGAAGAAAAGCTATGAAACAGTGTTTCCACTTTGAACACAGTGCATCCAACTTCAGTGACCCTTTTACCTTTAGTGCATCGTATCCTCATGACTGCCTCAAATCCGATCTTCCTGGAGAGGTATCGATCCAGATCCCTCTGGAACTTCTCTAATTGAGCCGGGTTGTGGATGAAATGGAAGGAGGGGTAATAAAAGATGCTGCCGGCGGAATACTTGGAGATACACGCTGAATGAGAAGAGGAGAGAAGGAGAGAAGGAGAGAAGGAGAGTGTTCATTAACACAGTTTCTACGGTAACAAAGACTTCCCCAGAGGGTTTTTTAACTTCTTCTGTCATGCTCGCAGAAAAGCCCAAATCAACCAGTAATCTCACTAGATTTAAATCAATACTCAATACTCACTTCCTGTAGGCTTAAAAAGTTCATGAGAGTTTAAAGTACGACAGGAATGAGCACAATAAGTGAGTGTTTCCAACACATAGACTACACCTGGGCAGGTCAACCTGGTATACTTGGAGCCGCCCTATTTCTATCTGTATAAGATATACAGAATATAAGATCTATATTTTTAGATTGATAAACTATCTCCAGCATTGCTCTCCACTCCTTACGTCCATGTAGCTTCTGATCAGAGAAACATCAGTAAGAAATAGAGCTTCCCTATTTGGCAAACAAATTATTAAACTCTAAATCATATTCAACTTGAAATAACACAGTGCTGCATCTTAGAGAAAGCAATCCACAAGCTAGTCTGCAGCACTATAATGATGGCCAGAAGTTCAACCAGCAAAATGGGAAGTGGCCCAAATGACGCCATCTGACCGAGCCGCCACAAATAAATCTGACTGTCTAGAAAATCTAAATAATGCTGCATGTAGGCTGTGTCAGTCTGTCATCCTATATTCATGAGAAAGCTTTACATTTTTCAGATTAATCTCCCAGTAACGGATTGAGACCCAGAATTTATAGAAGACTTTTTAAAACATTAGAAAGTGCTTCACACAAACACAACGAGGCACATGAGGCCATAAATCAAGACAACAGAAAATCAATCATAAACAACGAGGCACATGAAACAGGAGAGATCAATAAAACTTGCAAAATCAGAGCAATGAATAAAAATCAAATGAAAATGAAAAGCCATTCAATTCAAGTATGTCTAAATCAGAGATGTAAAACGGAAAGTTACTTACATATTGAGGCTAGGTCAGTGTACTGAGAGCTGAGCAGGAAGAGATCCACACCGATCTGTTGACCCGAGCAGTCCAGTGCAAGTTTCTTGTAGAAGTCTGTGGCCGGGCCGAGGTGTTGAACTCCCTGGGAAACAAAAACAAAATTAGACAGGTTTAGGGAGTTTTACTTTCCCTACAGCTTCCTTTATATTAGATACCCTGGTATTGTATCTGTGGGCTGTGTTTTTCTTTTACTTGAAATGATTTATATGGTAAAGATGCAGACTGGGAGCATGCTCTGTACGCTGGCTGTTGAAGGAATGGTCTGTTCGTTGCCGGGTCTGTCAGAAGTATATGTTCTTTAATTTTCAGCCCACAAAGCTCAGAAGCCAAAGCACAGAAAAACATGCTCCCTGAGAAGAAAGCACATCTGGTTTAAGTTGGATTTATTTCTAAATTTTTTGACAGCCCGGATCAAAAATAGACCACAGATGATCAAAATCAATAAATCACAATTTTTGGGATGACAAAAACACAGCTTTATGAAAGATCATGGATATAACTTGAAACAGAAAGTCCTAAGGATGCCAGGACTACATGTATAAATCATCTTAACACTGGGGTGTGGAAGAGTCATTCTCTGCCTTTATATCATCCATCATATGGTTTAGTTTAGGCTTCATAAATCACAGACATCTCAGTTCAAAATATCCTTACATAGTATGTTCTTTTAAAAAAAAGGCAAGCTGGCTCCTAAATTGGTAAAAAAAAAAAAAAAAAAAAAAAAATGTAAGAAAAGAAAATCAAGCACACACCAACTTCAATTTACAACTGCTTCCAAAACACTAAACTGTCATTCCCACCTTATTGCTTGAGCGCTGGTTGGGGTCTTCCCTCGACTGCAGCGCACCAGCACCCAGCGTTGGCAGCTGGGTCTGAAACACGGTGATGCGCCCCCCCGTCGGGGACATGAGCTTGAATGCAGCTTGTAAGGCCGGGCCAAGGGCGCTTTGGGTCTCTCTGCTCTGGCTGAACATGGCCGGCAGCGACGTCAGCAGATCCTTCACCAGCTGAGGGGGAAATTCAGAGAAATGGTGATTTGAGGAAATTATTATTATTTTTTTTTTTTTAAAGAGTGAAGACGTAGGTCAAAGAGGAGCAAAACATAGCGTTTACCTCTTTGCTTTCCTTTAGGTTCACCATCAGACTGTCATTAGACGGTATGAACACGTCTGAAAAATACAAACGATTTATCCACATTTTTACAACACTTCCAGAATATTTAAAATATGCAAAAGGTGCTGAAATCACTTTTGGACCAGCAGAAATTAAAGCATAGAAGCTTATCCTTTCAAAGATGTTAATGGAGTTCTGATTAAACTACAGACATCATAAAAAAATAACAAATCCTTTGAAGAGAGAATCCTAAAAATGATTTTTGCTTTTTTGTTTCAGTAAGTTAGGCAGCAAAACAATCCATAACATCTCCTCTGCTGACTTTGATCTAAAGCCTGAATAAAGGAAACACACCGTCTATGTCCGACACCACCAGCATCTGCGGCTGGGACAGACCCTCCTGCAGGTTGTAGAAGTGGATCGTGTTGTCGAAGGTGAGGAAGCCCACCCTGGTACGTGAATCTCCGGGCAACCTGAAAAACACACGACAACCCTTTTGTAACAACAGGTTTAGGTGGAGAAGAAAACAATGACTTCAGAGAAAGAAATCAACCTCATAATTACGGTTCTGATGTCTTTTTATTAAAGAGACAGACTTATGAACACTCCACGTTTATGTTTGAGGTTTTCTTTAAATACTCACTTATCCAGGTTTTCCATCAGAGAGTCACAGAAGTACTTCAGGTAGCCGGATTCCACAGCGTTATGAGACACATCGAGAACAAACAGGTAGGCTGCTGGCTGAGGGGGCCGCAACTGAATACACAAGAGAAAAAAGATTACTGAAGACAACATCAAGTGGATACAGTATTTGAAAACATACTTGTTATTAAAGGTCTAACATGAGGCTCGTCGGATTTATTTGTTTTATTTTCCTTGTCAGTGTTTTCATTTTTTGTTCTCTTTGCCTCAGACTTTTTAAGATGATATTTTATCGTACAACACTTTGGTAGTCGCTAATGAAGATCCAAATAAATAAGTAAACATAATTTAAAAATGATAGAACGTGAGACAAAGAAAGTGAAAAATTCAGAGTAAATGTACACGAGTGTTATTAGAGTCAATGCAAAACAATGATTTCAGGTAACTGAAACATGAGCAGAAACAGGAGGAAGTAGCTTAAACCACATTCCTTATAACACCTGAGGCCCCGTGTCCACCTAGTGTTTTTTTCTGAGTGCCAGCGTCTCTTTTCAATTGTTTTTAATGAGGAGGGAGCGTTCGCAGCTTCAGGCGGCCGCACAGATAAAAAAGCTCAGCGCCCAGCGTCTTTTTTACAAGCGCTCACCTTTTTTTGTACGGCGGCTCCGAGCGCTCAGGTTCAAAATCTTTCAACTTTTCAGAAAGGCACTGTTGACGTCACCGCCGCTCTTTTCAGAATGTATGATATTCCCTGTAGTTTTTCCGTGCATCGTGTCGTGTACCCACATCCTCTTTGCTCCGTGTCTGATCAGGTAAAAAACTATCTTAAATATAAAACATGCAGTAAAAAGTAACGGAGCCGTGTTGGTCGGACTGTTGTCATAGAGACACGACGGACATGCAGCACTTTTCTTCTCACGCACAAACGTTTCTTGCAAGCGCTCCGAGCGCACTGCCAGCCCTTTTCTGCCCGGAAAAAAACTCTAAATGGACACAGGACCTTATTCTGGAATCGTTCATACTACTTCTTCCTCAAAATGTCCACCTTTAAATCTCTCAATTACTTTCAGGTACGAAAAGGTACACCCACATTTTTATTTCATTTTTATTTTATTTCAAGACAGATCTTCCAGTCTTTCCATGCTGGGGCCACAAAAAAGTTGTAAACACAGATTAGACTTTTAATCATACTACACGTAAAAATGCACGACTTGTTACTAAACTGTCGGTTATTTATACATTCACCTGGTTTGTAGTTGTCTTATCATTCACCTGGTTTACAGTAGTGTTATCATTCACCTGGTTTGTAGTAGTGTTATCATTCACCTGGTTTGTAGTTGTGTTATCATTCACCTGGTTTACAGTAGTGTTATCATTCACCTGGTTTACAGTAGTGTTATCATTCACCTGGTTTATAGTAGTGTTATCATTCACCTGGTTTATAGTAGTGTTATCATTCACCTGGTTTACAGTAGTGTTATCATTCACCTGGTTTACAGTAGTGTTATCATTCACCTGGTTTATAGTAGTGTTATCATTCACCTGGTTTACAGTAGTGTTATCATTCACCTGGTTTACAGTAGTGTTATCATTCACCTGGTTTACAGTAGTGTTATCATTCACCTGGTTTGTAGTGGAGTTATCATTCACCGGGAGTCTTTTTGTGCCCACCTGATAAATGTTAATGAAAAATAGAGCTTTTAAAGAGGAGATCCTCTTATCTCATAGCATGCCCAGGATCAGATCCTATGAGTTACATTAAAGTACACTGGATTTTAGTAATTACTGATTACACTTTAATATTTACCGTTTACATTGCTAACACTGCACACTGTGTTTTATTTTATACAAAAATATATTTCCACTCACCACTACTTAACTAATACATCTTAAATCTACTTTTGTGTTCATTGTTTTACACCAAAACACCGACACAAACTTGTTGTATTAGTGAAGACTCTTCTCAGATTTATTTTTGGCCTAGTATCAAAAGAGGTATCAATTATTGCACCTTCAAACCAAATTCCAGTTTTTATGTCACCTCACTGTATTTCATTTCTCAAGACAAGACCGCCCTCTAGTGGACAAACAATCAGCCAGCAGAAAGTTCAAGAACGGAGGAGAAAGTTTACCATATAATCTGAGGAGGCGATGAACTCCACTGTGGCGTTTTGGACCTCTGGTCTCTTGTGGGGCTCGCCGTATGACCTGGTGACCGGGTTGTACATAAACTCATCTGGAACTGAACAAGGAAGAGAAAAAAGACAACAGGTTTTTAAACTACGATATATTTTAACATGTTCTGAGTCATACTTTGTTGTGCAGGTTATGGTGTCTCCATTTTGATTAATTTGCCTCATTGCATCCAAGTTCTTCTTGTATTAGCCCAGCTGGACCTTCAATTGTTCATTCATTCATAAAGACAGAGCAATTTCACTGTGCTTGCACTTTCTGCAACTCCATTAAATACAACAGCCTTGAACCTTGACGAGGTATGACCTGTGAAAACTAAGTGGAATAGATTGAATAAGCACATAAAATCACTCTTACCATCATTGACTCGGTAACAGAGGTTGCACTTCCATCTGCGTTGGTCCAGGAAGGTGACAAACGGGTTGATGTAGGTTCGACATGAGCGACAGCGCACTATTGTGTTCGACGTGATCACCGGTAGCTGCTGCAGAGGGAGCAGGAGAAAAAGGAGAGAGAGAAATTGAGTTAATGAGGGAAAGACGAAAAATTGTGTTGTGAGCTGCACTTTCAAACATCTCAAGCCCATTTGCACCCCCTCACTTTCCTCTACTCATTCCTTGGCTTATTACTGAAGAGCAGCTTTGTTTCTGTGTCTCAGGGAATGCGAGTGAACACATCTTGAAACTCTAGTCTGTGTTTGACCCAGTTCTCTGTCATTGTCTCCTGTTTCTATGACTCTCTCTGAAGGACTTCTTCTGCTGGTATACCATGCGCAGTGCTCACGATGCATTAACGTTGGGTCTCTGTAATATGGCAATGAGGAAAGTTTTTTCCTTCTCTTTGCAAAGTATCTTGAGACAACATTTGTTATGAATTGGGGCAATACAATTAAAGATTGATTGATGACCATATATTCCTCTCTTTCCTTTCCTACCATTTAGCTGTTGCGGTTAACTTCCTGCTTGTTTTTCTCTGCACCAGTACATCCCTGTTCTCTATCAGTTCAAACCTTCTAACACCACATCAACCAACACTTTTATAAATAAACTCAGCCATCTTCTAGTACCTCACGATTACTCTCCTCCTCTTGACAGTCCTTTAATCACTTCAGCTGCTTGTCACAAGGAGCTGACAACAACAGACTCACAACTGTTTCAGTATGTTACAAGTGAAAGAGCTAATCAAATGCTCAGATAATCAACACAAATCTATTTGCTTCTCATCTGGGGGGGGGGGGTAAAAAGCCTTTTCTCTGCACAAGTTGGGATTTATTTTTATACAACATCACCTCCAGAGGTTTATTTGGAGAAGGTAAAAGTCTGTGCGAAAAATGCGTCTGTTTGCGTTCACACATAGCCTAAAAAACCTCCGGGTAGCCAAATCTCCAGAGTTTTTCAGGAGATTTCCACATGTGTGAAAAGGGTTTAAGACTTGATATTAATTAGATTGATTTGGGTGAAGTAAAAGGTCTTAAACCCGCCTCCTCCATGTTTACAGGTGGGATTTGAAAAGGTTTAATACAGTCAAATAAAACCTGTCAAACCCGGAGTTTGGCGTAGTTTTCATCATGCAGATTTATGTGTTCATTTTCTCAGAGTAGTTTTGTTTGAATGAGTTAAAGAGTGGTTGTAACTTCATGATTGACAGCTCTGTTGATAAATACTGCAGAAGAGGATGAATGGTAATAGAAAACATACAGACAAGACGACAAGAGTCATTGAACTTTGACTAAAGAATCTGTTCTGCTGTGGACTGCACCGTTCAGAGTGTGCTTTGGTTATCAGAACGAGCACCAGCCAGCTCCCTAAAGGGGGGTTTAGGCATCAGCTCATACCTGCAAGTCTCTGAAGGGGTGCAGGAGGAGTCCCAGAGGGAGCCTGGCCTTGTTGAGTAGAGTCTGGGTCTGTGGGATGCTGGTCAGGGTACACCTAAATGTCCTGATGAAACATGGGGGAGGTAGAGGGCAAAGAAGACCCAAGACAGCGTGAGACATTCAGTGCTGGTATAAAAAAAAAATGTTTAAAACAACATGGATCTTGTTATTTATTTATTCAAGTCATCTTTCATACTTTCTCCACATTTATTGCTTGTTTTCAATCTCTTCATATCTTAGAAAATCATAAATATAAATGTAAGGTAGTAAAGTAGCGTGAATAACTTCTGACTGCACTTACTGTGGACTACAGTTGACCTTTTTGAGTTCAGGGCTGAGGTTGGGTTCGGGGGCTTCAAGGGGTCTGGGTGGCAGCAGGCTTCTCTCCTGTAGGAGATTGATCGGCGTCAGGGCCTCCACCTCCAGCTCTGGCACCCCACTCAGCCCCCCCAGAGCCGCAGACAGCTGAGACAGGTTTGGAAAGGGCTGAAGAGGATGGAGACAGTGACATAACTAGTGTTTAGTACTCAAATAAATCAGGACTGATATCAATAACGAAAACAAGACAGCTGCTGCCAAAAAGGCTGAATATTTAAACTGTTGTCCAGAGTTACAGCCATGCTGGTAATAAATGATCAGAGTAAGTTTATATACCAACTTTAAAAACAGTTCAAAATGTAACTTTTAAGCTGACACCAAATGTCTTGGAAACTTGAATGAAAATGTGTTTTCATGTGTCCTTATATGTAAATATTTGTTTTAATGAAAGCTGACATGACAAACTACAGCTCAAACTGATAACATGAAACCCAGGGCAACAGGTTTTTACATTATGTTATTTCTGTCCAGTTCAGTTCTTTGTAGGCATAGCACATATAAAGCTAGAGGTTATAGTTGTAAAGAGGATCAAGTCATTGTTTGATATTGGTCATTACAACAACAAAGATACCAAAAAGGTCACTTTGATTCAAGCTGTGCCCTCACCTGGGAGTACTGCTGGTAGCTCGACTGTCCGTACGGGTCATGAGAGGGGGAGGAGTCAGCGTGGGAGGCTGGTCCCTGATGATAGCCCTGCTGCATGTTGGGGTAACCATAGCTACCGTAGGGCGCAGCCTGGTTGGTCATATCGTTTGAAGGCGGCATGGAATCTGAAATAGAGAGAGTTAAGAATTAAAGACATCTGCAGACAGGTGACCAGTCAACATGTCTTTGGTCGCCTTTTTGCATTCCAAGTGCCCCATTATTATTACCATTGTTGATGTAAATTGCTGAAACTTTGTGAAATAAAGACAAGAGGACCTGCTTAGCACACTGTTATGTAGAGGAAGAGCAACATGCTTATGATCAAAACATACCAGGAAAGTTGCCTCCTTCCAGGGAATCGTAGCTGTTGGGCACCGGAGAGGCACTGCCAGTAGATGAAGAGGAGGTGTCACCACCTGAGAGAGGAAGAGAGAGTAAAACACAGAGAATATCAAAAACAAAACAAAAGAAGTTAAGGACTGGAGGTGAAGAGAAATAAGTTGAAATAGTAAGTCAAGCCGCCAGTGGGAAAGATAAACAAAAAATCTGAAATACAAAGCAACAAGGACTGAAGGCTGAAAAGGAATTAAGATGTAAATAAAACCAATTCAAAAAAGGACTGGGGGGTCTAGATTCAACATAAAAGAGGAGCTTGAAACAGAAAGAACAAAAGACAAAACATTAGGAGGATGAAAAGCAGCTGTTTTTGTTTGCTTGACCATGACTGTTGCCGTGTTTGGACTCCCTGAGGCACTCAGAGAAAGAGACATGGAGAGAAAGACGAGTGAAGATGATGAAAGGATGCACTTAAGTCTCCAACAAGCTGTTGAATGTTTGGAGAAAAGCAGCAGCCTCTAAGGACCAAGAAAATAAGAAGTAAAAAAAATAAAACATGCAGGAAATGGAGAAAAATAAGGAGGATTCCAGAAACACAAGAACTGCAGATGCTCACAGAGGTACAGAACATCTGACATTAATAATATCCATCTTACCAACTCTGTTCACTCCATTTTCCTCTTCTATTTTTTCTAATGTACACTTTTATAACATGAACTAATGACTTTCAAAGACATCCACACATAGAAGCTTCTAGCAAGTAAAAGGTTGCAAAGAAATGTATGTCTTGTCGATGTAAACAAAGCCGCTCTAAAGATATTTTATAAATCTACTATCTGCATTTCTTTTGAAACAAGTCTCAACGTGGGTCACCTGTTACAAGAACAAGCTGAGTGAGGTTAATTTGACGCCGTTATAAAACATGCTGCTGATGAATAGGCGAGTGAAAAATTGCTCATACAAAAAGGGACATCAAAGTTGAATCGGTGGCCGATATCTGAACTGAGAAGATCAGATCCATGTGATTTGTCATCTTTTCCCACTGCTACAGAAAACCCCCAAATCTCAGTCACATGTCGGCCAAAAAATGTAAATGTCTGCCCACTTCTGCCTGCAGTCTGAAAGGAGAATAAGCAGCATGATATGTCATCACAATGTCCTGGTTTGACATGTCCTCCCGCTCTCTCTCTCTCTCTTTAGTCACACTAGTCTCTACTGTATCCTATCAAATCAATCAGAAAATAATCCCTCCCAAATATAAAGTCTTGTAGATGCATTATGGAGCACTTTTCCTCTCATGAATAGTTTTTTTTTTTCCCCCAAAAGGATTACAAGAGTAGAAAATTTGAATGAAGCCATTAATCCACGTGGGCCGAAAGAAGGGATCAACAACAGCGAACCAAGACACGGCAGGACTCTGGCAGAGAGCTCATTGGATGGGACAGGATCCAATTATCTCTGACTAAAGAGACGACTGGATTATCTGCTCAGGAGGAAGAGCAGGAGGAGGAGGAGGAGGAGGAGGAGAACAGCTTAGTCCACCTCCAAGAAGATGCTCCTACCCTCTCCTCCTCCTCTTGTCAGCCCACAGATTAATTGCTAACTCCCAAGTACAGGATTGAAACCAAACTGTATATTCCCATGCAGCAGGTGCCTTGTTTCTCTAACCCTCTAATACAGCTCCATTCACACTGTGGCTGACAGTGTTCCCCTTTCTAACGTGTTTCTAACCAGATCTGATTATGAGCAGTCGATGTGAGACGCACAGAAAAGCTGCTAGAAGTTTCTGGATTATTTTTAGGACCACAAACATCCGGAGTATTTTTTTTAAGAGATAAACCATGTACTTAGACTTGCCATAGGACTACCATGATAACAGGTACCATCTTGTGTCGTTAAATTGAGATGAGGCTTATCATTTTGGCACTAGCAGCAGGGCGACTCAGCAGGACAGAAAGGGGGACACAAGAGGACAAAGCAAAGAAAGTAAAAATCTGTGATTTAAAAGGTCTGCTCGACTTAAAACATGATAAGTGACAGGCATAAAAACCCTACATATTTCATGGCCTTTCAAAATGAGGATTTTTTAGCTCTCTTGTCTGTTGTGCGATTATAAATTGAAGCTCTTTGGTGTAAAGGGCATTTTCTCAACGTTTGTATAAATTTTACAGGTCTAAAGATGAATTGCAGGTGGAAAGTAACAGTAACTCAAGTGGGACTTATTTGTAACTGGAAGTAGGAGAGAAAACATAGAAATAAAAAACAGCATATTTCCTATATTCTAGATCCCTAACGAAGGACTGAACAGCCTGAACTATGAAAAATCAACATATAACCAAGAGGTGCTTACAAGAGCCTACAATGACTGAAGAAAATCTCTTCACCATTTCATTGCATCAGACAGCCGGAGACGGACTCTAGAGATTTAGACGGATCACAGGGGGGAAACAATGAGTGCTAAAACAAGCGGCTCTTTTTATTTATAGTCGTGTAAATAAGTGCTAACCGTGCGGACAAGATCTTCTTCACCCATGCTCTCTCATGGGAAGCAGGAGAGTCAGCGTACACACAGATCCATGCACTGAGAGGTGTGACCTGCTGGGAGGGGAGCGGTTATATTTAAAAACTTGTTAACCTCTGGCTGATGACACAGCTCCTGAGGGGAAGTTAACAGCAGAGCACCCGAGTGGTACATAACACATGACTGCAAGAGACTGTTTAAGCTCGAGGCAGCTCGGTATTGTGAGGTCGAGACATTCAAGAAGAAAAAGGAGAGACTTATTTCACGGTCTACACCTTTTGAATGTAAACACAGGAACGCTATTTTCAATCAGTTTTTATGTAAGGGAAAACTGACAACATTGTTGTTGCTGACATTACAGGCTTTTCTCTGGTTCACACTTTTGGTGCTGCAGCTAATAACTATGTTTACATTTTAGCCTTATGTTATTCAGAGGAGTTTTAACTTGAGGCTTCACAGTATTATTGTTAATCTCTTCCTTTTTTTAATGAAACTTGTCACTAAAGAACTCTATCAGATGTCAGAGGTGTTAGGGCAGTATGCTCCTAGTGCTGTTTGTGCCTTCTCCACTTCTGTTGTCTCCGGCCCAGGTGAAGCTACTGATTGCACAACGAGGTACACCTGGGCCCTTTCCGGATCCCCACAGTTCAGTATGCAGCGCATTCTTTTCAGTAGGGAGTTTCAGTGTACTGAATTTCGTGGTCATGCAGCGGGCATTTTTCAGGTCCACCTCAGTATACTGAACATTTCAGCATGGATACTAACTTCCGGGTTTTATGCAGCATGGATCGGATGCATCCTTTCAGGAAATGAATTGTATTTTACCACCCACAATGCTGTGCGAAATTTAACGTGAAACGTCACTTCACATTCAAGCTAGCCAGGGTTGCCAGGGTCTGTGTGACAACAATTGACGAAACAAGCGCAATGGCCTGTGGGAAAAAAAAAACTACCTGCAGCAGCAGCACCTAAAAAGAAGCCCAATTCTGCAGGAAAACCTTGTACCTGGCAACCGCGCTGACGTGCGCGACGAAACGAATCTGGTGATTGTTGAATTTTAAATGAGAAGTGTGGTAATAACAACAACAGGAAGGTTGTAACAAGTTATTTTTTGTGTCGGTAACTGTAATATTATTCAAGAATTTTATTACTAATTCATAACACTACTAGTCACTAGGATAAGTAGTTTTATTACTGTAACACGTTACTGCCCAACACTGTTAACCCCATAGGGCCGCCTAATGGTGGGGCGTAACAGAGGACTAAGAAAAACTGCTCATTTTTAGGACCTAAAAAAAGAATAGTTTTGTTTGTGTACCAGCCCCAAACATAAGATATTAAGGTTATCAGCCATAACCATTGCATATACTGTTCATGCTTATTTAATGCTAAAGAAAGACAGCCGAGTATATTTCAGCATTTCGTCACTCTGCAATAGAGAGGTGGGGTCTTCATAAATGCATATCTGTATGAAACACTGTTTCCAAGCATATTCTTCACCTTGAAACTACAGTGATCAAATAAAATTTCCCAAACGTACGACTGTTTTTGCTAACCCTGTACAATGAAACCCAGAGAAATAAACAATCCTTGCATGTCAGCTGCTATGCTGAGGCCTCTATCATTAATGTTGTTGATTCACTTTCTGCACTTAATACCTCAAAACAAACACCTTTTAAAACACTTGAATATGATTCTAGAGTAAAAGAGCAACATCTAATTTCACAGTTACCCAAGGCAAAAAGATGTGAGCCAAATAGAAGTAGAAAACAAAACTATAGATTTTTTCTTCTCCGTCAGTATCTACAGCTCGGCTGCTGCTAGTAATTGGAGGTTCACTTTAAGACAAGGGGTACATATAACAAAGGCTGCTGAGAGAGAGAAGCGTAGACAGCATACATGGGGCTACTCTTTTCAGCAGCAGAAGCTAGCAAATGATTTTCAGGATCAAATGCAGTCCAACTTACCTCTCAGCTTTTTGAGAGACTAAGTTTCTTGTTAGTTCTGAGTGATGGATTAACAGTGCAGATTAGACACAGAATTAAGAGATGATCCAATGGCAGTAATGATGACTGTGAGGGGGGGGGGGAGATGGTGAAAGCTGTTGAAGAGGCAGCAGGGAGGAGAGGGAACAATCTGATTAGCCTATTAGAAAGGGACAGGTTCAAAATGATGATTAAGCTTGTTGGCAGGTGGAGTAGAAGTGACACTAAGACAAAGAGGATGGGGTAAGAGGATGAAGATGCACAAATTGAAAAAATATAAATGTTGTCGATTTCTTTCTTGAAATGGGAATCAAAAGGTTTTGAAGAAGAACTGAATGGTTTTATGGGGTTAGAGAGGGGCTATTGGGATAGTAAAAGCTAAAAGCAGACCTGCTTCCTCATCCTCCTCCTCCTCATCATCGTCATCATCAGAGCTGGATGACGAGGGGGCTGCGGTGGTGGCAGGGGCAGAGCTAGCTCCACTATTAGCAACATATCCGTACGGCACGCCTGTTGGAAGGGGGGGAGTGGGAAAGGATACTGTGAAGAAAACTTTCAGAAGACAGGGAGGCAGGATATATTTGTTGATGGAAGTAGCTGGCGTTTTTCTCATATGGCAGAAAAACAAGCGAAATACCAAGAGAGTGCTGCATGAATGACTCTTAAAGCCCTACCAGAAGCATTTTATCTCACTCGTGTGTTTTTTTTTTAAAATGCTGATACTAACAAGCGGATTAAAATCAGAGAAACTTTAAGATGCATAACATCATCAGGCAGAACACAGGCATGTTGAGAGCTTAGCTTTGGCTAAGTTAACAACAACGGTGAAGCTCGTTTACAGCTTAACATTAGCTTTTAGTTTCTGGAGAATGTACTGACAGTACATGACAAAATTATATTGCTAAAAAAAAAACCTGACAGTATCATAAGCTGTTGTTTGACACAGAGCTTACTTTCTGTAATTACATCTTCAAAAAATTAGTGAAATCATTTGCCCTCTTGTCAAAGAATTCCTAAGTAAGGCTAGGCAATAGATAGCGATTTCATCCTTATCGCAATATAAGAATTCCCAATAAACACGTTGCGAAAGCCAGAATTTCTCACAATACATGAAAAAAAACACTTTTGATATAGTCAAGAAATTCTTTCTCCCTCAACAAGCGTACATATTTCCAGTTGTTTGGAGGCCTGTGCATGATGGCCATGCTTTCACAGCATTTGGATGCACTCAGATAAAGCCGAAGCCAACTGTCAGCTACTCTTGGATTAAATAATTCCAATTTAGTGGAGAAAAAATTATAATTTTTAGATGTATTTTGGATTCAGAAGGGATGTCTTACAAACAAAGGTGTTCTGTTTAACATGAAGAAAAGCATGCAGACAGAAACTGAGGTAGAGCGCATTCATATTGTTGTCACAATATTGCACATAGCTTTTTTTTTTTTTTTTCATTTCATGGATGCCTAATCCAGAGTGATGTTTATTTCCAGGTAGGCTAACAAAAATAAGTCATCCCAGCAGCACTCTATTATAATGATGATGTTTGCATGAATTGGTGACTTCATGCAAACAGGTATAGCCTTTGAAACCAAATTTAAATACCCCTGCCAACTGCCGAAGACACAGGTCAGGAGGAGTCCCAACGTTCTTTGCATTTAGGTTTGTTGTTTTAAAAAAATTCTCCTCAAAATTTCCATTTCAGACCAATAACATTTTACAGGCCACTTAAAAAGTTGATTCAAATTATTAATCCAACAAGCAATTTACACTAATATGTACACACAATCAGGTGTTAAACTGGCATCAAATATCTATGTTAAAGACGTTGGAGAGTTGGAAGTGTGCGACTAACAGTAAGACTTAACCCTAACCCAAAGTAATTATCAAGGTAACATTTCCTGGAAGATAATCCAAATTGTTTTATCACACCATTTGATTTTACGCTAGTTAACCAATTAAAATACCTGCAACAATAATACTAGCCTTTTATTGTGATGTGCCTGTTAGCAGGGTGTGGCCTACGTTTGTCCTCTTGCTATTGTACAACATACTTTTCTATTGCCTCAAGCTAATGGACTAATACAGAGGAAACTTACTGAGTGATACATTTTACAGTTTACAGAGTGTGACAACTCTGCAGACATAATTGTTTATTGTTTAACCTTGTGTAACACATCATTATGGTGAGACCATGCAAAGTTTCAAAGCCATTAGATAGTTTTGCAACCCAAACTATGATTAAATGCAGCAGGTGCAGCAGGTGCAGGAGTCATTTGGCTTCAACCTGCGGAGCTGACAGTGGATAGACTCGCACGTCAGGGCTAACGTAAACCACCAGCTGGCAGCTAAGTTTTGACCTGAAACCCTGAAATTTGTGTAAACCCTCACACCTGCACATTTGAAAGTATGTGTGTGCCACAAATTCTGTGTGCTGCATTGCCAGAGTGCAGCTGTGAACATGTGAACCATTCACACACACAAATGCACTGTAATTCTAGAGCACGATTTTAAACTGCACATCCAAACATAGACTTGTGGAGAGCATGCACCAGAAAATAAATTAGAACTAGAGCAAAACCAAGAGCTGCCTTGTTTAACTGCTGCATTCATAACCTTATGATAACTGAAGAAGACTTACAAATGAGAGGCAAAACATCTTCATGAACTCCAGCTCAAGCTATATAGTTTAAATAACATTTCAGGTAACATGCACATTGGCAATTTGTTTCCAATCAACTTTCTACATAAAGACACCTTTAAGCATAGAGGAGGTCAGCGCTATCCAACCCAGTGAAAACATTTAACAAGTCAGCTCTACAATCTGCCATTCATCTTAAGAACAGTTACAATGCGTCTCATCTTCTGTGTGTCTTGGGCCAGGAGTCTAAAACAAAACTTAATAACTAATATCTTTGTTACCTTGATGGTGGCCTGGTGAGGAATGGACTGAAGTGGAGGGAGTCCCTGAGGGCAGTTGGTCTGCTTCAGCGCCGCTGTAGGTGTTGTAGCTCAGGGACGACTGACAGCTTCGGTCATAGTGTTGGTGGACTGTTGTCGACAAAAAAAAATGTCAACAAAGAAAAGGTTAATAAACATAAACAGGATATTGATACGTCTGCATATTATTGAACCCTGAATGAAGACTGACCCTGAGGAAAAATAATTTTAAACAGCATTTTCACATGTAATAATCATTCATTAAGTCTTTGTAGCCGAGGTCACATACTTGATGTCATGTAGAAACATGGGGAATTAAAGTAAATATTAAACCGACTATGGAGAAGTTTTCCATGTATTGCATACACAGTCTTTTCTCATATGGTATTTGCATGTATCTGTCCTGCTGTCAACACAAAATAACCTTTAGTGTGTTCACACAAAACAGTAATTTTGTGTACAGTTTGCTGTATAAACTTCTGTATTAAATGTCTAAAGTTCAAATAAGGGACATACACATAGAGAGAGATCTAAACTGAGCAACATGTTTGGCAGCAAGGAATTCAGCTGATACCCACACTTCTTTTATTATAATGTGAGATACACGTGTTTTTTGCAACACTATATGCACATAGTGATCTGGAAGGAAACCAAAATTTTAAGGAACATCATGGGATCTCTAGCCAGCAGCTTAACAGCCTTGTTGGATTTAACCATTTACACGTACCTGTGCTTCCTTGACCATTGACTGTCGGCACAAGCTGACTAGGAGGGGCCACACCGTACCCAGGCTGTGCAGCTGTTGTTGAGGCTGGCCGAGAGGTGCTGTACTGGTGTAGGGGTGCACCCATCTGGGTAGGCAAGACTCCTGGTGTGGTGTTGTTCTGGGAGGAACTCAGGGTGCCGTATTGGCTATTTCCTGGCGCGGAGGGGTAAGAGACAATTGGGTGGAGGGGAGCTCCAGGGCCGCTAGCTGGAGCAGGCACCAAAGTGGGCTGCTGCTGCTGCTGCTGCTGCTGCTGCTGAGAGGTGTGTTGTGCTGGGGGAGGGTGGTATGACTGCGGACCATAATAGGATCCTGGAGTAGCATATGGTGGATGCTGCAGCTGCTGGTTGTACTGGGCATGTGGTGGTACAGGTCCTGAAGAGGGGACTGGCTGAGAAGGAGGAGCACTGTATGGGGATGGTGCTACATGATGCTGAGGGACAGGACGCTGCTGCTGCTGCTGCTGCTGATGGTTGCTCTGGTAGTAGTTAGCACTGTGGACACTGTTCGTCATAGATGCTTTACTGGGAGCTGGAGTGGAGTGGGCAGGGATGGTGGGATAGCTCTGATGTTGAGGTGGGGCTCCATAACAGCCTGTAGGTGGATACATAGATTGGTATGTCTGTGCTGGACCTGAAAAAAAAAAAAGAGAGGAGTTGGCAGGAAAGTACACAATTTACAAGCTTAGTGTTCACAACTGCAAAAGCAAGAAGGAAAAGGCTCACAAAGAAAGAGATTATCTGTACACAGGTTTCATCTGTTACTTCACCAGTGAGGGTTAATAGATCTCATTTAAATAAACAATCCCTGACAGCACAGCAACTCATACGAAGTCCAGTATTTCGGTGTAAAATCAACAAAACCGGTTGTTTACCACACCTCCAATACAAAGTAAACATTAGTAAATGATAATGCGCCACCTGTCACCCTGTTTTTTTTTTTTTTATCTTTGCTAACACTTTGCTAGCCGCTACCCTCAGTTTCAATACCTTAAGTTAGCTTGTGTTAGCAACTAGCAGTTAGCTGAAGCTATTTTTTTTTTTCTTTGCCAATTTAACAGATCGCCCGAACTTCAACATTCACATTCACTATTATAATCAACACGAGGCAGCTGTATGTACAAAAGAAGACAAGACATAAACGCTCATTATGCTATCTGACATCACATAGGGGTTATCATGCTAACGCTAGCCTTCTCGGTAATCGCATCATCCGGCCTGCTGTACCGTTCTGATACGGGGGAGCGTCTCCGCCGTTCGGGGTCGAGTTCTGGTTGTAGTTGACGGAGCTGCTCAGATTGGTGAAACCCGGCGCAGACATCGCTCGGTCCTCCTTTCCTTACGCCCACAGATACACACACATGAGCTGTACTTGTCTCCCCCCCCAAAAAAGAAGCCTGGTTTTCAGAGAGCACTGCTTGTGATGGAAGAGGTGTGGGGGGTGGGGGGTGGGGGAAGAGCCGGGGCAGCACAGCAGGTCCACTCGGCTGAGAGCAGAAGCCTCCAGCGGGATGATGGTGAGGATCTCCTGGCTGTGCTCCTATCACTCCCTCTTGCGGATTTTCTACTGAAGTGAGCGTAACCACTTGAATAACTTGAACGCATTACTGAAATGAAGAAGCTTCTGTGCCATAGTGGGCTAATAATTCATTTATAACCTACTATTATAATTATAATTATATTATTATCATATTACATATATTTATAATAATAATTTTATAATAATAATTAATTCATTTATAACCTACTATTATAATTATAATTATATTATTATATAATTATTATTATAAATATAATTAATTCATTTGTAACATACTATTATAATTATAATTATATTATTATTATATATTTATTATATAATTATTATAATAATATAATAATTTATTTATAACCTACTATTATAATTATATTATATATTATTATAATTATTATTATAAATATAATAAATTCATTTATAACCTATTATAATTATAATTATATTATATATTATTATATAATTATTATTATAAATATAATTCATTCATTTATAACCTACTATACTACTACTAAGACACTAAACTGTTTAAGTCCTATATGTAAAATAATTGGTACCTTTCTCTAGCAAGTATGACTTAACAAGTTATTATTTTGACACATTATTTGTTAAGTGCACACATTTTGTTTGGCAAAATATTTTACTAATGTATACTGCATACTTTTGAAATCCCCTTTATTGATGTTGTTTTATTACACTTATATTGTTGTTTTTCCTGATCTATAATGAATTTAAAAAAATAGTTTAATGTGAATTTACCCTCCAGAAATGTATCTTCTTTCAAATGACAAATGAAACATGCTTTCATTAGTATACAAACTATTTTTTTGAGTTTTATCTGGATGAGAAGATTTTTGTAGAGAAGGTGTAAAATCATGCAAATGTCAACAGGTGCAGGCGTCAAATCTCACATTCTTACTTTATCCTTAGATTGCTGAAATTAAAACTTAACTCTGTAACTGAAATAATGAGAGGCTAGCTTTTTCGGTACTCAGATGTGTACCTTGGGATTTAAAAAAAAAAAAAATCTGCACTCCAAGTAACCGGTCCAGTTTTACAGGAACAAGCACAACCACATGTTCATTTTTCTGAAAGGTATTTTTTAAGATGCATTGGTGTTTCACAAAATTCATGTAATAAAACTTGCAATGTCTGCAGATACATTTAACATATTCTCAATAAAAGCTGTATAAACAGTCTCATCATGTAAAATTAGAATGGCTATAACACCGTCTCCAGAATTAGGACACTGTGTCTCCATTCCCATCATTTATATAAAAATAATCCATGGCATTAAAATATACAGGAAACCCTCTTAAAAATTGAGTTGTACATTTTGATGAATATCCCTGGACAAGCAACACTTTTATTGATGTCCAATCATAACCGTCCTGTTGCTACACATCCTGAGGGATTCTGGGTCGTCCACCTGTACACTCACACTCCTCTTTGTGATGCTGAAAAGCAGATGATTTTCCGCTCTGAGCCCGTCCTTTGGTTAGACATGTGGGGCAGCATGCAGTGTGTCCAGCTTCTCTGCAGGCGACACAGGACAGAACCAGCTGACAGCAGAACTGGGTGGAACAGAGCTTGTACTGATCCCAGGGAGAGCCACAGTACCTGCAGTCTAAGCAGAGAAATGCAATTTTATTTATTATATTCATCAGTTTTTAGATAATGTTACAATTTCTATATGTCACTAAACATGTTGATTAGGCGCTTTGTGAACACGCTAACCTGATATTACGTCATTGTTGGAGGAGATGGCATAGCGTTCGTCGAACACGAAAAGTTTCCCTCGATAGAAACCTTCTGGAAATTGCTCCAGATACTTGTGAATTCCACCTCTCAGCTGGTAAACCTCCTTACACACATCCTACAGACAGGGAAGTAAGAAAAAATGTACAATTAACAAACTGATGATGCATTTCTTTTCGACCATTTGCAAGAAATACAGGTATGTCTGAAAAGGCAAGCAGCTACACAGCTCCCCCTTGTGGAGAACAAGCAGACTGCAAGAAGTAAGTGACAACATGACAGGCCAGTTCAATAAGCGGCTTAATAGAAAAAAGAAAAAATTCTTCAGTTCACCTCAAGGACATGTCAGCTTACTTTAGAACGGAGGTATGCAGAGCCCCGCTCACAGCGGATCCCTCCTGTGCAGTACATCAAGACTTTCTTGTCTCTGAACAGTTCTAGATTCTGGTCCACGTAGTCTGGGAAGTAGCTGAACTTACGGATGTCTGGGGCCAGACATTGTGTAAACTGTCCCTGCAGTCAAAATGAGACATGTTGCAGAATGTTACATCACAATCCAATATTGCAATCTGGCTTTTGAACAATTTTCCATTAACTCAAACTTAGTAAAAAGCAGATATCAGTACTGGTGTTACTGTTGCAGACAAACTTTCTTACTGCAACCAGTTAAGCTGATGCAGATATAACACACAGAGGCAGGTACATTATAGAAAATAAATACTAAATATAGACCATAAAAGACAATACACAATGCATGGAGAATCTAAGCAAGTCCCTACTTTTTGTGATATGCTCATATGTTCACTTACAATTTTACTCTCATAGAAGTTACGGCAGTCCAGTAGGACGGTGTCATTGCTTGAATCCTCTTTAGACAAAAGAGCGTCCACTTCTTTATGAAACTCCTCCGGCTCCAAATGTATTCCTGAGCAGCGAGAAAATACAACGACTAACCAAAAAGCCTTCACATACCCCAAAATCAGCTGACCTCAAAACAGAACATTTTATAGAAAATCTAATCAAAATAAACACATTGATAAAATCATAATAACACTTTGAGTGATTTTGCAAAAAAACAGTTATACACAATAGTAATAATGGTAATTGTGATGAGATACTTGTGTTATATTAGTGTCAGCATTGTATTATTGTTGTTTTCATAAACTATACCTGCCAGCTTGTAGGAGATAACTTCAGGATCCATTCCCATTGGGACAATTTCCTTATAAACTCCCAGCCTCAGGTCTGTAAAACACTCTGCACCACCATCACTTGTCTGATCATGCACACAAACACATATATACCAAACAGAAGTTACATAAAATGTGCACTTGTCATGTTAATTAATTATTATTATATGGTTATCTTTTAAACTAAGGTTGGTGTTGTGGAACTACAGAGACGCCGATTGACGTCATGAAGAAACATTATGTAATAAATATCTAATAAACAGAAGGTATTTTTTTCTACTTATCTATCATCCAACTACTGTATTAAATATTAAAATTATTATTATTAAAAAATATATTTTTTAATCTGAGCCTGACCTTAAAATCCTCCGTATCCATCTTAAAGAGTGGGTGTGAACACATAGCATCGATGTAGATGTCAGTGGCTACGTTGGTGCCCCCAACTGTTCCATTGATGCCTTCAGTCGCCACCCTCACCTGAAGAACATAATTATTTATGTAAAGGGAAAGGTCAAATGGATTAATAAGCCTTCCTCTAAACAAATAATAGAATTATAGAAACACGTTTTTAAGTCTTGTTCCCAAAATAAACATTCTGGTGTCTCTTAGTTGATAGCTTTTTATACCTTGCCATTTAAGTGAAGCTTCTCACACAAGGCTTTCTGCCACGCACAGATGACATGTGGATTGTCTACTTGGCAGTAGTGATAATAGAGGAGAACCTTTCCTGGACCCCTATAAAGGAAATTGCAACGACAGACATCAGCTGGATTTTACAACGTTTCACCGTACAAAGATATGTGCAGGCAGATATAACTGAACTCAGACAGGATAATCAAAATGTGTTAGTACTTCTGAAGCTGCTCCTCAGAAATGTGTGCAGTGTCAGGGATCCATGCAGATATATCCGCTGGCTTGGCCTCACAGTTGTTCGGTTGCTGCTGTGATTCAGTCTCTCTTTCCAGCTGGCTCAACAAATGCTCATACGCGGCTCGTGCGAGCTGCTGTAGGTCAGCATCATGAGTCCTGGCCACATGTTTGTGAATGGCAGAGTGTTCCTTAAAGGTCTCTTCACAGCAGCACCAAGACGTGCATCCATCGTCTGCATTGAGATCCTGCTTGTTTGCCACAAAGGCAGCAAATGACTGTGGTATAAAAAAAAAAATGTGCAAAGTCAAATAAAGACTATTTTTCCAAATGTGTTTAACAAGTAGCAACTTCAAGATTATGGTTCCTAGATCATCTACTAGCAACTTGCTGATCATATTTCTGTTTATAGGTTAGGCGTAGTTCAATGACAAATGGATGCCACTTGTGTTTTTTCTTTAATTTATTACATAAGATCTTAAGGGTTTGATTTAATTACAGATAAATAAAATAAATAATGTGGTTAAAGACTATATGAGACCATTCCATTTATCACCACACATAACTTAGGCTCATCTTTTGACTCTTGATTGGTCACAACTCCCAGTATGACATGCCCAGTCAGAGCTGAAGCATGAACTATAGCCTACAGTCTGGGTCCTACTTATCTTTTTTCTCATATTCATGCTGTGTTTTTGTTGTAAGATATGGATCATTTGTTGTCTGGCTTCTCTGTTTACATGTGGACTGTTGTTTGTTTCCATTGTCTTTTATTTATTGATTCTACTACGGAGACAGCTGTATGTGTGCAAAGACAAATGTCCTCAATGTATTGTGTGCGTCATCGTATGGTATATTAAGGTTTGTTA